CAAGGCAGCTGCAAAATCTGCTTCAAAGGCCCCATTTTCATAGAGCATTAATTATGAGTAATTAATGTTTGAGATTACTTTCAAAGATGGCATGAAAGATACAGCATTATAGAATACAGGCTCTTTGAACGTGTTTTGAAATAGCTTTGTTATTTATTTGGTTGGGGATTTACAATGACCGCAGTGTATTTGGCTGGGGTTTTCAAAGGCACCCAAGGGAACTGGGTGCAGCAGGTGAGAGTCTGATTTCTTCCAATGCCTCAGAAAATGACAGTTCTTTGTAGCTTATCAATGTGATACAGAGAAGCCCTGTTAGCAAATTTTGCAAAGACTTTACGGCTTTTTTTATCCTTTTCTCTTAGACTGAGAGAGTGCCACTTGAACTCAACTCAAGACTGGAAGAAATGGTGGAATTCAGTGAAATGGAAGCAGAGCCCAGTGAAGCAGAAGATTTTGAGGCCAGGGGAAGTCGCTTTTCCAAGTCAGCTGATGAAAGGCAGCGTATGTTGGTTCAGCGGAAGGAGGACTTGTTGCAGCAAGCTCGAAAGTACGTTCCTTCCTAAAATTCCAGCCTGGTCACTCAGTTATAGTCCCCCAGAATGGGTTTCAAATGGATTATGACCACTGAGAGCCTGGGTTGATGCAAAAAGTAGTCAGAGGAATGAGTACATCTGCTACAGCAGGCTCAGGCTCAGGATGCTGTTTTAAGACAACCGTTGCTGATAAACCCAACTCTGAAATAGCGTCATGTGTCCCAGCACAGCTTCCAAAGGGGTTGTTCCAAACCTCTTTGAAATCAGAAGACGATTCCTCCAGCTCAATGGGCTTTAGTTTGAGCCTGTACTAAGTGAGAACGCATTACTTGTGTTGAGCCCTCTGGTCCCCTTTAGCTTGTCTCCTGGCACAGGTATCAGCCCACACTGCTGTTATGGCTGAAATTACTTTTTGGGATTTTTACGAAGCAGCACAGAGTTGACAGCTGACCGCTTACTAAAGCATGCTGGAGGAGCTCATGACCAGCAAGTCAACAGCGCTGAAGAGAGAGTGACGAACTTTCTTTTAGCCCAGTTACTAATAGGTGTCATAGGTAGAATTTAACTTTTTTCACGTGCGTTCCAGTCATTTTGGTGAACTCTACTAGGGTCCAGTTGCTGATTAAAAAGAGAAGGAAAAATGCCTTAGTGGTGTAGAGAAAACTCTTCAGCATTTGTAACAAGTTTTGTCCCTTCCCTTGTATCGCAGGGAGACTACTGGAAGGGTCTACAAAACCTACACTGAATTATCCCTCCTTTGGTGTTACTGGGCTACCTACGCGTTTGTTTTTTTTTTTCTTTCACACTGAAATGCCTTCATGTAAATAACTGGGGGTGTGACGCCTTTTAAGGGTTCGCCTGTAAAGAGGCTTGCTCCTAGAATAATTCTTCCTTTATATTTGAAAAATTTCATTTAGGGAGACAAAGTATTTTTGACTTACTGGTTCCCTTCCTTGTGTTGAAGACCTGTGAAATTGAAAACTGCTGTGTTTTGTCACTGAGTGTAAAAATTCATTGGGATGTTAACTCTGGCAGCTGCTTCCTTGGGTTTTTGCCTTCTCTCACACTTTGCAGCCCTAGTGCCCCTTCTGTCAAAGGCTTACTTGTCACCAGGGAGTGACTTCTTGTCGTGGGTGCTGCCAGCATCTTACAAGTGGTGGAATAACGGGGGAAGAGAGATCCAGACCGGCAGTCTCAGTGAATTGCTCTGCGTTAAGAGCAGAGCCCCCGCATTTAGAATTGGCTCCCTCCCACGGTCACAAGGATCTTGTGCAAAAACTAAGAGCTTCTGCCAACTCTGGAAAACCTATCGTAGCTTACAGGGGTTTTGTTTTTTTGAGTATGTAGCTTGTGTGCGCTTTTATCGAAGTATTTTCCTGATTTCAGTGTGCCTTGCACCCTCCCTAACTTTGTGGATGTACCAGCAAAATATTTTCCAGGGCCAAAGCGAGGTGGGCGCTACTCACCCATCTTTTCCTTTTTCCTCTTGCAGGCGTTATTTAAACAAAACCTCCGATGAGGAGCTGACCACAGAGAAGCCCTCTCCTCTGCCCGAGGGAGCATCCGCCGATCCTGTCACCCTGCGTCGCAGGACGCTCGCTGCTGCCGCCGAACGGAGACTTCAGATGCAGCAAAACTCTTAGCGCTCATTGCCCCTCCTTCCTCCTCCTCGTGAGCAATGTTGAATAAATGAATTAAACACACACACACAAAAAAGCAACCACCCTGCGCTCTCTATACCAGCAGGAAAGTGTCTCTTCAGAGTTCAGCTAGCTGTGCTGCTGAGCGAGCTGGCTGCCTCTCTGCTGTATAAAGCATGTGGTCTAATAATGTTTGGACAGCTGACAAATTAACCTTTTTTGTAATATTTTCTATGTGACGCTGATCCCCTCCACAAACGAAAGGTGATTTCTAAACCAGGGGCGTGATTTCTGCAGCTAAGCAGGAGGAATGGGCTGACTGTGCAGCAGAGGCTGGGCAAAAGCGTGTTCCAAACTAGCAGCTGCGGCTGTGCAGGTCGCGGAGGGCACTGCCGTCTTCAGTGCGAGAGCAGGGAGTGTCGCTCCAAGAGGGAAGAAAGCTAACTGCTAAAAATGTGCAGCAAACCCTGTGTTAGATGAGCAGGCGCCCACTCTTCAGTCCCTGTTAGTGTCGACACTGAAGGGTGTTACGTAGGCTGGCTTGAAGGGCTGGGGTGGCGTTGCTGGGAAGTGGGTTCTGAGACTGGATAGAAGGTGTCTAGCTACATAACGCAGGAAAAAATGAAATGGTGAATTGTGCAGCGAGGCGCCGATTCACATCGATTCCAGCAGCGTAAAATAGGTTTGTTTACCGTTGCTGGGCTCTTCTGCACTGGCAGACGTCTGGCTCTGTTTGCTCCCCAGGGCTGTGCTACTTTTCGTTGCCTTTTATGGCCAGAAACAAGTGAGAGATGGAGGGGAATCAAGTGAAGAAGAGGGGGCGTAAGGCGAGGTTACAGCCCCTGCAATTCAGTGTTACCAAAAGCCGAGGGAGCATGATAGAAAAACCTGCCTGTCCTGGACTCCAGAGCAACTTGGATGGGACTTCATGGAGATAATGCCAATATCTTGCTTTTTGTTTCTTTTCTTTTCTTTTTTTTTTTTTTTTACCCCCACAACTTCACCCTGAGTTTATTCAGAAAGACTGGAGGGTCTGGGGCAGCCGGACCTTAGGCCGGCCGCAGCCCAACCTGCTAAACCTCTGATTTTTCTAAAGAACCTCTGACACAAGACCCACTCGGAGCCGCCGCCGCTAGCTTGCATAGTTGAATTTTACATGGCAATGACTTAATTTTTAAACCTCTGAAGAGTGAGTTCTCCTATTGCTGTCCTTTAGAAGGAGCCCAGTATTATCTAGAATTGTTGGTAACTTTTTTTACTGTTGGTTTCTAGGACAATTGAAGGTGCGTTTAATGAGAGGAGTTGCGTTGATGTTTAGGTGAAAATAATTTATTTCAATAAAACTCTTTGGGGAAGCCTTACCTTGCAATGCTATTAGTAAACTTCAAGGAATTTTTTTTGAGATCTTTGGTTTTGCTCAGAGCACAGCTGTTTTGGTTTTATTGTTCAAAAAAAAACCCCAAACCCCAAAATAAAATCTTGGTCATTGTTGGAAATTGGCAATTTCTGCCGTGTGACTTTTCACATTCCTGACATGCATTCAGTTTCGAAATGTGGTGCCTGTGCTTCGGTTCCCCTTTGGTTCCCCTTTCTATCGCGATGAAAGGGGGCCCAGCCGCCTCACACCTGGTTTAGCCGCCTTTTCCCAAGCCTCGGGTTGCAGAGCGGTGATTGCTGCTGGAATTCAGTCGCACTGTGAATGTGGGAATGGAAGAGAAATGGCATCTTGAGAGGGACTGTAAAAATAAAGTGGGATTTTGAACTGTCTGGCAGCACATGGGAGGGATGAGAGCTGTTGCACGCGTGAACAGGATGGAGTTTGGGTCGTTATTCAAGCAGCAGGGTTGGTGTCCCTCAGGGAGTGCAGACAGGAGAGGAGGAACCAGCACAGAAATCCTTCCTGGGGCTCCGGGTTTCCTTGAGTTCCTCCTCCTCCTCACTGAATTTCTGGGAGTTTTTTGTACGTGATGATGGATTTTTGTAGATGATGATGCAAAATGACTCCAGCTTCATCTCATCAGAGGGGATGCCTGCAGCCAGGACAGCTTTTGACTTGGTTTTGGGCTTGAGCTGGCTTTGGGCTTGCAAGGTCTCCACCACCTTGGTATGTCCTCTTGCTGCCTGCCCGCCTTCCTGGGGAGGGAGGGCTGTGCCCTGGGGAGGTTTTGTTCCCCCTCCTCAGACACAGGAGATGAGGAGCCCCTGGTTCCCCGGGGCTTGGCTGGGCAGCAGCACCGCACAAACCACCTCCACCTACTTCTGGTGCTCCCTGAGCTGTGTGGCATCTCAGCCACCTTGAATTTCATCACTACAAGACAAAAAAAGATAAATAAAATCAATCCTAGATTTCTTAGGTTTGTGCTGGCCTGGAAAGGGGCTGGTGAAGCAGCTCTTCTCAGCCACCAGCCCTCTCTCTACGTGCTGGAGTCCAGTCCTTTGCCAGCAGCAGATCGAAGGAGCTGCCAGTCCGTCCCACACAAACCCCTCCTGCAACAGAGATGGGTGCAGGGGCTGCCCCCCCCCTGCCTGGGTGGAGGGAGCCTCCTGCGAGGAACCTGGTTGGGGATGTTTGGGCTATTCTTGGGCTATTCTTTCCGGACTTCTCCTCTTGTTGGATTCCTGACCTTTTCCCAGCAGCTCTTCCCTTTGCTCTGGCAGGAGTGGGCCCCGCCCAGCCGCCTGTTCGTGTCCTTGCCTGCGGCCCTGTTGCAAAACGCCCTACTTGAGCCGTGAGAGGCTGGTTTGTGTGGAGGAGGACACGGACGTCTCGACTGGAAAGGGAAATCATCCGAGGAGAAGCCTGATGGACTTCCCTGGTGCCGATATGAGCTACTTCTGGATGGCTGCGGACAGCAGGAGCCTTGCAGAAACGGCGTCGGTCGGGAGGCGCTGCCGCGTGGCGGAGCAGCTTTTCTGCCCAGCCTGGCCTCGCACGGGCCAGCGGCGTTGGAGCTCGATGGGGCGGCCCAGTGCAGAGCTGCGCCAGGGGTGCCGGCTGCCTGGGAAACCTTCCCTGCGGCTCCCTCAGCAGGTCCTGCCGGGCCT